GCCAGGAGAAAGGCTTGTTTTTGGCAGGGGAGCGGGGCAGCTCAAGCCTCTGCATCGGGGAGAGGCTGGAAGGTGAGAAGCCAACCATCACAAGCAGCCATAGGGACTATGAGAGACCCCAGGAGCCCTGGCCCTGCCCAGTGGAGCTGGGCTCGCTGGAGGCAGGGACGTCCACAGCGGCCCCACAAGCCATGGACCATTTCTGCTCCAAAGACAGTGGTGAGCAGCTCCAGGGAGCTGCAGCTGCAGAGGAAAGTGACCCTGAAAACATGGAAAATGGGTCTTCTTCCAAAAGTCTACCTGGGTCACACACACCAGACCAAGTAGAGGCTCCCATCTACACAGACCCCATGACAAAAAGCCCTTCTGCTGTCACTGACTCCGTATTCCCCAAGATCCTGGAGGCAGCTGAAGCCACCAAAGATCCCCTGCCATCCCTGCCATGCCAGCATGATGCTGAGAGCTTCCCTGTGTCAGGGAAAGCAGATGAAAGCTTCATTGATGCTGCAGAGCTAGAGAAGCTTGATGCCTATCTTCCAAATCATAAACCTCAACTGGACACCCCAGCCTTGGACCTCACCTTTTCACCTCACATCAAAGAGATCTCAGATACAGAAGAAAGACCCTTAAGCAAACCCAAGTCACCCAAAATGACCAAAAGCACCATAGACTTCAAAGGGGATGATGGTGGGTCTGCATTGGTGGAAGAAACAGAGGAGAGAAAGAGCCCAACCACCTCTCCAGACCCTGGACTTGGTGACAAAGCCAGCAAGCAAAAAGTGCTGCTCTTTGATATGCTGAGTCTGCCTGAGGAGAGCGACCACGGCTCCCAGGAGATGTTGGCATCCCAGGAGAGGGCTGCCAACCCTCTGCAGCAGCTCCAGCTCTTTGTCGCCCGAACAGTGAAGAGCAACGAGGAGGAGCTGTTGATGCCCTGCTTCCCCATGCTCCTTGCTCCTGGCCACCCCTCTGCCACCACCCGTGGCCAGCTGGAGCAGAAAGAGGAGAAATGCGGTGCCTTGGAAGGGGAAAATGGGACACACTGCCCTGCACAAGGGGAGGGGAATATCCCTGTTGAAGGTAACACAGAAAATATTCCTGCCCCAGCAAAAGAGGTGGTGCTTTTCTCTAGTGGATGTGAGCAGCTGGAGTCATTTGGTGGGACGGGCTCTTCCCACGCAAAACCATCTGCACTTGCCAAGCCTGAGCTGCAAAGTAACGTAAGGGAGCTGCAGCACTTAGCAAATGAACCTGCAGAGCAGAATGACATTAATACTGGCACAGATGGTGTTTCCCGAGAGCATAATGACCTCTCACCACTCAAAAACACAGTGGTGACCCCACTGTCAGGGCAAGGAGAGAAAGCTGATCCACTCCTGGAAGAAGAGGAGGAAGAGAAAACCAAAGCAACCTTGGCATTCAAAAGCCATGAGCAATCCTGTATAAGCCGTAGTTTGCTGGAGGAAGAAACGCCGGGCAGTGCTGCAGCAGAGAGGCTGGAAAGGAACCCAGTGGGGCAGGAGGTACAGTCCCTGTGCTCTGCTCCAGTGAGTCCCACCAGCACTCCCAGACCTTCCAAGGAGGATCTCCACCAGGATCACCACTTGGTGCTGGAAGCAAGAGCTGGTACAGTCAGTGCAAAGGATCCCAGGGAAGGAGATGGCAAGAAGTCGTCCCTCAATGGCTGTCATTACACACGTGACTCTCCAGCCAGCTTGCTCTTGCCAACCAATTTTTCTCACCCCAAACACTTGCAGAGCAGTGAGGCAGAGGGAGGAGATGTCCCCAGCTTCAGCACTCAGCTCTCCGATGAGAATAAACACGGCACGTCCCTAGTAAACTCGTCGAGTTCATTTGTCACGAAGAGGTGTCCTCCTGAGGTCAACAGCCATCATGTGCATCACCCCACCATGAGCCCAGGAGATCAAGGGACTTGGAAAAGGGCACCTCCCTTTCCTCCATCACTTCCTCACTGTGGCACCATGCCCATGGAAGTGGTCAAGGACAGTCACCATCACCAGCACCTCCCTGACGGCATCTTGGGTAACTATGGACCAGCTGAAAGAGAAGGGCTGGCGAGACCCTGCACTCTGCTGCCTGCTGTTGGTCTGGTGGACTCAGCCTTGGAGATGGAAGGTCCCCAGAAACCTTATGGGAAGGACTGCTCTCTTCCCTGCTTACCACCCTTCAACCAAAAGGGTGTTGGGAAAGAAGTACCCAAAAGCACTGGTGCTGTGCTCTCAAGTTCTCATATTCAAGAAACCCAAGCGTGCACCATCACAGATATGGTCGTTAACTCCATTCCTCCAGAAACCCAAGATTACCCAACTCAGCCCACGACAGATCTTCTCCCCATCAGAGAAAGAGAGGCAAAACTGAACGAAGAGGACAACCTGGAAATCTGCTCTGATGGTGGAAACAAGCATCAAAGTGAACCAGAGGCTTTGTCCAATGGTTGTGTTGTTCAGCCGGCTGCTGTCATCAGAGGTCTTAAAAGAACTGGAGATCTTGGTCCTGCTGACTTAAATGGCCATGAGTTTTCAGAGGCAGCAGAGGTGAGACTTGGTCTTTCCAAACCCACAGAGAGCAGAGGAAAGAGTTTAAAAGGGGAGAAAACCAAAAGTCACGGGGATGGAGAAGCTGGGAGCTGTGTGTTAAGCAGTACGGGCCAAGGAGAGGACAACATGCCTAACGGTCCTCTGAACCCTTCCCAAAGTGAACTTAAAGAGAAGAAGCCAAACGGGCTCCTGGTGACCTGCGACATTTGTTCGGCCACTTTCCGGTCCAAGCCTGGCCTGACCAGGCACAAAGCTGTCAAGCACCAGGTGAAGAATGGTGGTGGACCACAGCCCAGCAAGGCTCCCATGTCTGCTTTGATTCCTACAGAGAGGACATCAAAAGCAGCCCAAAAAGTGCCCAGGAGGAGCCTGAAGACTTCAGTCAAAGACAAAACTTGCAGCTCACCAGTTCCCACCACCAACACTGACCATGTCCCCAAGAAAATATGCCCAGACCTGGAGAAAGAGCCCAGCACACAGATGCAGGAAGTGGTCAGCAGAGTGCTCAGTGACCTCAGCGTGATCTCCTTTGAGATGTCCCAGGAGCTGCACCGCACACGTGTTCTGCAGAGGGTGATGAAGGTAAAGGGACCCTGCTTGGAGACAAGGGGAGCAGGCGAGGTGGCAGCTGGGAAGCTGGACTCAGGGCGGCAAGCCAGGAAGGGAGAAAAGGGTAGAAGGAGCCAAAGCAAAGATCCTGGAGAGGTGAATGGCAATTCTGAGAAGAAGCTAAACAGGAAAGTGAGACGAAGGAAAGCAAAGGTGTTTCCTAGCAGAAGTGAGCCTGCTGGTCCATGTGAGCTGGAGAAGGCAGATCCTCCCTCTGCTATCCTCAGCTCCAGTCTGCCCAGGACTATGGAGAGCTTGCATCAGGCTGGTGGTTGCATCTCCACAGAGGAGCAAAATAGGTCCAACTCATCCCAATACCCTCAAAAAGCTAAACAGTCCCCTTGTGCAGCTGAGCTTGCAGAGGACCTGGGCAACAGGATGGGGTCTTCAAAGGAGATGGTCAACAAGGAGTTAGTAGCAAGCACAGTCACCTGTCCTGGGGAGGTGGAAGATCCAAATGAAGTGGAGGGCCTGCAGGCTTGCAAGAAATCGGCTAGTGGGTTTGTGAAGCAAGTGGAGAAGGGATTGGGCAAGGTAGGCAAAGAGCAGCATTGTGGTGCTGGTGGCACAGAAGAGATGGATGCTAAGACAAAAGACAGGCCCATGGCAGAGAGTGGTGCAGGGAACCGGAGTGATGCTCCATGGGTTCCCATGGTTCCTGCCAAAGAGGGCCTGCCACTGGAGACACGGGATTCAGAAACCACACAAAGGATTCCTGGGCAAGGTGCTCTGCAGACCACACCAGGGACCAGCCCTCCTCCTGCAGAGCCAAAGCACTGGTTGACAGCAGACCTGCCACCGGGCAGAGAGCATTGCGTGGAGAAGGTGGCCATCTCAGACGACCTCCAGAGCTTGTTTGATGATGACTCCACGTTCTCCCAGCTCTTTCCCAGGGATGACCAGTCTGTCCGGAGAAAGTGCACGCGGGTGTATGGGAAGCGTAGCAAGAAACCCAAGCCCGTGACCAAGGTGGACCAGCAGGCAGCGGGTGATGGGGACCTCTTCACAATCCGGGTAGCTTCTGACCTCAGTGAAACCAGCTCTTTCTGTGTCACCAGGGAGGACCCATGCGAATACGAAACCATCTCCGGTGACGATGCCTTAATGCTGAACATGTGTCACAGCAGCACGGGGAAGAGTGGGGACGCTGCTGCTCCCAGCGGGTCCAAAAGCGTCGCGCTGAGGTTGGACTGCGAGCAGATTGACCAAGGGAAGGAGGACATTGACCTGGAAGACAACATGCTAACCTTCTTGTGCCAAAACAGCCAAGTGGACAACGTCCCCAGCTTGAACATCTGGGGGAATCTGGAGAAGGAGGGAGAAAGCCTCTCTGCCGAGGACATGTTTGAGCCTCTGATGGACCCCGAAGATGAGCACTCACTCAGAGAAGGGGGCTCTGAACCCCCTGACCTGGTGGAGGAGCCCTATGGTGACTCAGCTAACATAGACTCAGGCTCTCCTGAATTTCACACCATCGACATCGAGATGCTGAATGCAAAGCTGAAGATGAGAGACATGTGCTTCTTCAGCCCATGTGAAGATCTTTCTGGACACGGGGAGAACAATGCTGGGAGTTTCAAGCCGAAGCCAGGCCAGCACAGCAAGCACAGAAACAAGCTAGAAGATGGGAAACTGGGGAAAAACCGCAGTGAGATGACCATCAAGACCAAAGACAAGCAATACAAATGCAAAGTCTGCTTCCAGTGGTTCCTGACATTGGGAGAGCTGGACTTCCACAAGCTTTCCCATAACCCTTCCCCTCCACCTACCTGCTACATGTGTGTCCAGCGCAAATTCAGCTCCCGGGAGCAGCTGAGGGACCACCTGAAGGAGAAGCACGCCAAAAACAAAGCCGGTCTGTGGGCTTGTGGGATGTGCCTGAAGGAGATCTCTGATGTCTGGATGTACAACGAGCATCTCCGGGAGCACGCCACCCAGTTTGCTCGCAAGGGCCAAGCGCAGAAGTCTGTGATGGGCCTGCCAGCCTGCTTTGGTGAGGACAACGCTGCTGTCACCCACTTCCTCAACACCATCATGTATCGGAAGCCCAGCAGGTCCTCCCGGCACACTGACCCCAGCTGCAGGCAGGGGGTTAGCAGAGGGAGCAAGAGCCCTAGGGAGCTGCCCCTTGAGCAAGAGGCCAAGGCGATGAAAGACCCCCTGGAAAGCAACGTTAAGGTGAAGCCACCTGCATCCAGCTCTTCTAAAGCATCTGCCAGTCCTTCTCCAGAGCATGTGGCAAAAAGCGACGGCACCCCAAAATCTGTCCCCATGCACCCAGACTGCAAGGATCCTTCCAGGGACTGTCATCACTGTGGCAAACAGTTCCCCAAGCCCTTCAAGCTCCAGCGGCACTTAGTCGTGCATAGTTTACAGAAGATCTACTTGTGCCACAAGTGTCCAATGTTCTACCAGGAGACCAAAGAGCTTCGGAACCACCTCAGCCAGGAGCACGGGATAGTGGAGGAGCAGGAGATCAAGCACACCACCCTGTATGCCTGCGAGCTCTGTGCAGACGTCATGCACGTGATCAAGAAGTCCTTCATCTGCAGCATGTGCAACTACACCTTCTCCAAGAAAGAGCAGTACGACCGGCACATGGAGAAGCATCTGGCGGGAAGCAACAAGACTTTCAAATTCAGAGGGGTCATGAGACCTGGTGTTGCCTTCAGGGAGGGCAAGGAGAAAGTGAAAGAGGACGGCTCTCTCTGGGAGGGCATGCCACCGAGCAAGAAGAGGAAAGTTGCTCACCACAGCAGCTCACTCCCACGCAGCTCACCAGTCCAGCTGGACCACACTGATGACCTTCAGCTAGTAGAGGCTGCAAGCCCCAACCTACAGGCTCCTGCTGACTCCTTCCCTACAGCACCTGATGACCTGGGAGCACCCCAACCCCCCCTGAAAACAGAAGACCTGGTGGGGGACTTTTCTGACCTCCTGGCAGAGATGGAGAAATCTCAGTTTGAGGGCCTGCCCCCCCCACACTGCCTCTCCCCATCCTTGCCGCAGGCTGCAACGAGCAGCCCAGAGCTCGGCCACGTCGCTGCCCTGTCTATGGAGGAGCTGGAGAAAGAAGCATTTGATGGGAAACCACTTCCTTTCTTGGACTCACCCGACTTTACTGTTGACCTTGCTGGGTTGGCTTGTACCCAGGCCACAGACCAAAAACTCTCTCCTCCCCATCTGCCCAAGAAACGGGGCTACGTTGATGCCCAGAAAAGAACAAGTGTAGGAAACAAAGATGAGCATATAGCAGGTGTCCTGGAAAATCCCAGTGCAGCTGTGGATAGGATCCCATTTCTCCAACTTGCCAAGAAGGTCTCAGGGCTTCCTTCCCTTCAAACAGAGGCTCCACCAGCCAAGGAGATCCACAGGTGGGGCAGCCCCAGTGCCAGTAACGCCTCTTCTTGGGAAGGTGCACCTAAAGCCATGTCTCCAGAAGCTGCCCGCCACCCCCTGCCCCTGAAGGACAAGACAGCATCACCCACGCTGAACAGAGCTGCCAAAGATTTGGTCCTGCAGAAGAAGACCTCGGGTAGCCAGCCCAGCAGTGAGGCTGGTCCCAGCACTGGCAGCCCTGATGGCAGCAACGAGGAGGGTCACCAACTCGTCTTGGGGAGGGACAAAGTCACTAAGGACCCTAAGGACAACAGCACCAATGCCAAGGACCAAGATGGCAACCCAAGCAAATCCAGCAGCCACCAGCCCAGAGGTGAGGGGGCCAGCAATGCTGTAAGACACAGCCACGTGGAACCAAGCAAAGCCACCAGCAAGCTTCACCCCAGGAGGAGGAAAGAGCACAAGTCCTTGAGCCATCGGAGCAGCTCCGGCTCCCGGGAGAACATGGAGGGAGATGGGAAAAAGAAAAAAGCCCGGATCTCATGCCCGGGGAGGAGCGAAAGCACCGGTGACCTCAAACATGCTGGTTGGAGCAAGGCTGAAGCTTCAGCACTCTCCCCTGGGAGGAGGGAGACACAATGCAACAAGCTGGTACCCAGGGGCAAAGCAGGCACCCAGCTGAAGAAGATGGTCCTGGACACTTACAACCAGAAGAAGGGGGAGATCCGTCACGCCAACGGGGACGTGAAGCGCAGGAAGGCCATCCTGGGGAAGAGCCTCCACCAGGTGTTGGCCAAGGGGCCGGCGCCGTCCCCGCGTGGGTCCTTGCAGAGCCCACGTGCCGGCCGGGGGGCCAAGCCGGCCGGGTCGGGCAGCTACCGCACCGCTGAGTCCCAGAACAACCTGCTAAGCCAACTCTTCGGGCAAAAATTAACAAGCTTTAAAATTCCTTTAAGAAGAGATACTTCAGAGTAATTTATGGAAGTGACTTATGGTGATCCTCAGCTGCTTTCATGGGGTTTGCAAGGGAAAAATTATCAAAGCATTAAATTCGTTTGTGTAGCATGATTTCTCTGTCTAGCTTAAATGAACTTGCACTGCAGCCTCTGTGAAATAGTTTGCTTTGTGTCTACTAATCTACTTTAATTCACCTGATTTATCATGCAAATGCTAGAACTTTGATGTTGCTGATGATTTTCACGAACTGAAATTGTAATCGCTTTGGGCAGACTGAATCGTCGAGAGCAATTGCTTTATTGCAGAAGTGCTGAGGTTATAAGGATACTTGCAAATCTCAGACCCTTTTGAGACTGTGTCTGTGTTATCTTTGTACAAAGTACTTGAAGAGATGAACTTCATTCCGTAGACGTCTTATTCATAAGGTGCAGTACACTGTAGAAAGCAAATTTTTATTATTTCCTTTTTTTATTATTATTTTTAAGATTTTGCACAAATAATCCCGTACGATTCACTTAATTAGGAGCTGGCCTAAGAGACGATACAATTAGGAAGGGGGGAAAAAAACCAAAACCACGTGAAATTAAGAATCAGGTGTCCTATATTTTGACAGCCATCCCCATGGATTTGTTTGCACGTTGTCAAGAGAAAAAGGAACCAGCCCTGGGGCTGCTGGAGCCCTTCAGAGGATGCTGCCATTCTTTGACCACTGTAGATGATGTGAGCAGAGGAGACCCGGCCGCGAGCGAACTGCACCTTGACACTTGTGACAAACTGATGTTTTTAGGGTGTTGTTGTTTCGTTTGTTTGTTTTCTGTTTGGGTTCTTGTTGTTCGTTTGGGGTTTGTTGTGGTGTGGTTTGTTGTTTTGTTGTTTTTTTTAACGTGTGCGTGTGTGTTTGGGTTTGTTGGTTGGTTTGTTGGGTGGGTTTGGGGGTTGTTTGTTTTTTTGCGCAACGACAAAACTGTGCCAATTGACCGAACCGGTACCGTGCCCTCAACGGTGTCACTTCTAACCTATCTTACTGTATTGAGTAGTGGCTCTCTAGGTATCCGCTTTTTTACTATGCAGTTACTGGTGCTATTCTTCTTTTGTAATGTGAATACAGCCTTCCTTGATTGAAAAAAATAAAAGGGAACCAGGGGGAAGTAGCTGATACCCGTAAAACGGAGCAGGAAACAAAGAAATACTTCTAAAAATCCAACTTTAGGGGGAGGAAAAAAAATAAATCCTGTATGCTGGTACTCCATAGTGTTGAAAAGGTTACGTTAAATGAGCTCGTTATACAACTGAACTTTTGAATCTGGAAAGAAATCTCAGGTGCAAACGAGGACATGGAAGATGAAATACTATTGAAATACTCCCAAGTCAAGGAGGTGAAGTAATGCACTGATGTGATATGAACAGTCAGAGTACTTTGCGTCTGTCCTGCAGTGATGATGTTTTGTTTTGTTTTAGATTTAAAAAGGAAAAATAAAATTTAAAAAGAAAAAAAAAACAAACAACAAAAAACAGAGGCTTTATTCTGTTAATATGTATCTTTATAATTCTTTGTATTGTATAAAAATATTGTAGGTAATTTACCTTGGGTGCAATGTGTTCTGTCAAAAGTTTTTATTTTGATATTTTGTCAGAGAAGCAGAGAGAGCAGGAAACGCCATTTTATGATGTTGTTTGTGTGCTTTTAAAGTGCCTCTTTAATATTGTTAAATAAAGTATGAGATGAAAATATGGGGCGGTACTGTAAAATCATACATGATTAATCTTTTCAAATATATTCCAATATTTTCACAGAAATCCCCTGTCTGTGTGATGTCTGTGGGATGTTCCTCCCTGGCTGCATCCCGAACCCCGTGGCCCCCTCGTCCTGTGCACATCCCTGACCAAATGGTGGCACTTCTAATTGACAATTAGGTGCTCTGTATGTCTTCATGGTGACCCCTGCAAAGTGGCTGCAGGATGGCATTGGTGCTGCTGCTGTCACCTTGCAGTCGTTTGCCAAGTGGTGGAGATGCTCATGCATCTCCTTTTCCTCACTGTGTCTTGCCTAGGTTCTACTCACAACATGGGTGTTTTGTCCTGGGAGGGGAGGAAAGCCCAACATGATGGTGCTGGCCCAGTTTGGTCATCATGAATTGGTGATGGTGATGGCCCAGTTTGGTCATCACCATCTGGTGATGGCCCAGTCTGGTCATCACCAACTGGTCATGGAGATGGCCCAGTTTGGTCTTCACCACTTTGTCCTCAAGCTGACCTCTGCCAGCACAGCAACTGAGGTCTGAAGGTAGGAGGCTGACACAAAGCTGGGCATATTATATTCTTTAATTACTGTTGCAATCATAACATTTAAATGCTGTCACTGAGAGATAGCTCTTAACCGCAGGCTGGAATCCCGGCCACTTGGGGCTTGTAACTGAAACTGCCGGATTAATTTGATTAATTGATAGAATTATTTTCCAAACTACTCTTTTGTTTATGGAGGCTTAAAATGCTCGCTGCCTGCACCCTCCTGGTGTGTTGCAGAGCGGAGATAAAGTGGCTGAAAATAATTAGCATGACTTAATTTAGGGGAAAAAAATAACCTCAGAAGAATTTTGCAGAAAATTGAAGGCAGCACATTTCACTTGGCGTTGGCAGGAAATATGATGGAGCTGGAAATGGGACTTTTATGTTTTCCCTCCACTGTATTTCAAGCCCACAGAGCAGAGGAGTATTTCGTGGCTGGGTGTTGCTGTCATCCTCTGGATTCGTAACCTGGGCACACGCAGTGAAGTTCCATGGGAGCCTCAGGTTTGCTGCAGGGGATGGGACCATCCCCAGGGCTTGGGGCAGAGTGCTGGGATGCTGTCCTAAAGCAGCACCCATCTTGTGACACAGACCACCAGTGACACTCACCTCAGGCTCCCTCCAGCACCCTGCCCCCCAGGGAGACGCTACCATCATCCTGAGCATTTCATTTGAAGTATTTAATTATCCCCTTTCTCCTCAGGTGAGAGTGGGCAGGGGGTTTTCCCCCCTTCTCTCCCACATCCCTCCTGCCATTTCAGTGCCTGCAAGTGGGTGACCCTCCCATCCATAACCTCCCTAAAGCCCCCTGCGTTTGCCAAGTCCTGCATTATCGAGCACCACTTGACACTTGGAAGATTGTGGGACCTGTCAGTGTCATTCCAGGGAGGAAAGCAAGGCTGGGCAGCTTCTCCTGCCTGCAGATTAACTGGCTGCTCTGCAGGTCCCAGCAGCGTGGAGGGGCACCCATGGGGCCCAGCACATGTGGGGGCCCCAGGGCTGCACCCCAGCAGGATGGACAGCTGGTTGGCAGCATCCTCAGCCCCAACCATCACCAGTGAGGGCGGTTGCAGGGGGCTGGGTATGAACCGAGGGGGCCACTAGAATCCCTTAGGAGATTTCTTGGCTTCTTGCCACCACCCTCAAGTTTTCTCAGGCTGCTTTTAGCTCTTCCACCTCCCTCCTCCAACCCAACCAGCCTTTCTTCTCAGCTGCACACCCAAGTTCCTGAGCTGGAGGTGCTTTTTAAGCCTCTCTGCAAGCCCAGGGATAACGGGATCCACCATGGTTGTCACGCTGCTAACAGGGGCTAAAGATTTATACACTTTTTTTTCTTTTCCTTGCTCTGGAGTCAAATCTGGCTGTTCCTTGCACAGGAGGAATTTAAACCCCTGCTCC